TCTGCACTCATTACATGATCCCCGAAAGCCTTCTGAATCATCCAGATAGTTTCCATGGAGGAATGTTCAAGCTTAACATAAAATTTGATGCAGATTTATTGCTGTACTCAGTCACTTCTAATGTGATGGCCACGTGCTCACTCAATAGCATATACCCCCCCCCCTCCACTGACTAGTACAATGAAGTCATTCACCCATATGCATTCCAGTCCACCCTCCTTGCTTGCGAGATTACATCGATGTCCCACAAACTGCTCTCGTCATATTAGCAATGGCTGGATCATCAATCCACATGAGCAACTGAGTCGAACCTTGAAAAAGAATATGGCACTGACTTGCAGTTTTATACACCTCATTTTTTCCCCATAGATTAAAAACAGGAAATAAACACATGTTTGAGTATTCCAGGGATTGGTTTCCAACACAAATACCTTCTCACCATGATGAACAAATTCTCGGCAGGAGAATCCCATGTATATGGTGGCTCAGTCAGGCAAACAGACTGCAAAAGAATGATTCCCCAAAGTCTAAAATCTGTCATCCTATTAACCTAACCATGTACTATCAACATAGGTGATGATAAGAGCTTTTTTTTTTTTCATTTTTTTCAAGATTTTGTTTCTTTTTAGAGGGGAAGGGAGAGAAACATCAATAGGTTGCCCCTCACACACCGCCAACTGGGAACCTGGCATGCAACCCAGGCATATGCAGACCTTCCAGTTTGCAGATCAGTGCTCAATCCACTGAGCCACACAAGCCAGGGCTAAAAGAGCTTCTTAAATATTCTATTTTCATATATACTTTTTAAGATAATGTATATGCTCCCAGAAGTACTGTTTTCTCCCTGATAGCCTTTTTGTTTTAATCAGCCAAACTAGACTTTTTTTTCATTTGACAAAATTCAACACCCATTCTTTATTCCATTACCATTCAGTCCCCCTACATTTTCCTCCCCCCTCCCTAGTAATCACAGCTATTTTCCATGTCCATGAATCTTTTTTGTTTTTGCCCAATCCCTTGACCTCCTAACCCACTTCATTAGTTGTCATCCTGCTGAGTCTGTCTCTGTTTTGTTTGTTCAGTTTCTTCATTAGATTCCACATATGAGTGAAATCATATGGTATTTGTCTTTCTCTGACTGTTTATTTCACTTAGCATAATTTTTCCAGGTCCATCCATACTCTCACAAAGGCTAAAATTTGTTTTTATGGCTGAGTAGTATTCCACTGTGTAAATGTACCATAGTTGTTTTATCCACTCATCTACTGATGGACATGGGCTTCTTCCATATCTTGGCAATTGTAAATGATGCTGCAATGAACATAGGGGTGCTTACGTTCTTTTGAATTACTGTTTTGGGTTCCTTCAGGTATATTCCCAGCAGTGGGATCGCTGCGTCAAAAGGCAGCTCCATTGTTAATTTTTTTAGGTATCTCCATGCTGCTAACATTCCACAGTGGCTGCACCAATCTGCATTCCCACCAAAAGTGCACAATGGTTCCTTATTTTCTATATCTTAACCAGTGCTTGTTGTTTGTTGTTTTATTGATGATTGCCATTCTGACAGGTGTGAGATGATAGTTCATTGTGGTTTTAATTTGCATTTCTCCGATGATTAGTGACTGAACATTTTTTCATATGTCTATTGGCCATCTGTATGTCCTCTTTAGAGAAGTGTCTATTCAGGCCCTTTGCCCATTTTTTTAATTGGGTTGTTTGTTTTTTTGGTGTTGAGTTTTGTAAGTTCTTTATAAATTTTGGATATTAACCCCTTATCAGCAAATATGTTCTCCCATTCTGTGGGTTGTCTATTTTTCTTATGTTTTCCTTTGGGACTACATCCCCAATACTCTTAGAGGGTACAAAAGACTCAGATTAAAGAAAAGTTGACAAGAACTAAGATTTTAACAGTTGTCATCAAATTCTCACTGTCTAGAGTGGTGCCTTCAAATGTTTAGATGTTACAAAGGGCTATTTTTCATCTTACATACTAAACAGGGTGATTCTTGCTGTGGGAAATTTGCCATGAGAAAAGAGTTAAAATTGAATAGATTTTGAAGCCACCTGACCCATTCAAATCATAATGTCTGGCATCTATTAATCACTCAATGTGTGCTAGACATTGTATTCAGCGCTTTAATCTTCCTAATCTATTCTATTCTCTATTAAGTATAAACTGAAGCACAGAGAAGTCAAGTATTCTCTCAAAGGTCACATTGCTAATAAATAATGCAGCTGAGATTTGAAGCCAGGTGATTGGTCTAGTGCCCCACTTCACTATCCCCTGATGTGTCCCCCTGGATTCTAAGATGGAAATTAAAATAATTGACTTTAATAATGCATTTACGATAGTATTTATTTAGCACTTTGTTTGCCAGACATGGTGCTAATCACTTGCCCATATTCAAAACAACTCACAGCCCTCTATGGATATGAGGAATCAAATAAGGAGAATCTGGTATATCAGACTAAATGAGTTCTAGTTTCTTTCCTCTAGAATTTCATCCTTTGATACTTTGACTCCCATTTTGAGCTCACATCTAGCTCTAGGAATACCCATTGTCTTGAAAGTGCCTTTATTAACAGTCCCTTACCACAAATGAGGAAAGCTAATTGTTCAAAAAGTAAATGTAGCTACAATGTGGATGAACCTTGAAAAAATTGTGCTAAGTGAAAAAAAAAAAACACAAAAGGTCACATACTGTCTGATTCTATTTATATGAAATATCTAGAATAGGTAAATCCATAGACAAGAGATTAGTGGTTGATAGGGACTAGAAGGAGGAGGAAATGGAGAGTTAACTGCCTAATGGTATAAGGTTTTAGTTTGGAAATGTTTTTGAAATGCTGCAGTAGTTGCACATTGTGAATATTAAATGCCACTGGATTGTTCACTTTAAAATGATTAATTTTATGTTATGTGAATTTCACATCAATTTTTTTAAAGGCTGATAAACAGCATAGAACTAGAGAATCCTATATATCAGCAAGTCAAAATAAATTGACCTACCCATTAAATCCATTTTACAAAGAGCACAGGCTGTTTCCCACTTCCTTTTCAAATGTCCCAGACTTCCTTAGATCTTCCCACTCTTTTGAGTGGGTGAGTTGTGCCTAGTTTACAACTGAATTTTTTATGTTTGTCCTTGATAACTATTAAATGATTTGGCCTTCCCATACCTAAGTTATCAGCCCCGATTCTTAATATTTCTCAGATGACTCAGTGTTCTTAGTGAAGAAATTTTATTTCACAGTTTCACAGTTTACCAGTGACAGCTGCTTTTCAGTAAGAATGTTCAAATATAGTAGTATAAGACCTTTTCTCACAGCCCATGTTCTGAAAAGTAACCTAAAAAATATTTGAGGAAAATCCATGGATTAGGTGCTCAAGTAATAATACTAATATAATTAATTTATAATTCTCCAAATCTGATTCAGACTCATTCAGCATGAAATCTAGTGTCCAGTCACACTATGAAAAACTTTATACATTCATTGTAAATCTGGCTCAAAATAACCTTAGAGGAGAAGAGGGTAAAACTGCAAAGAAATAGGGATCATACACATTTCCAAAAAAGAGCACACACAGTTTATGACAATATAATGAATTTTTTAAAAAAGGGGGGGGGGCATCCCTGGACATATAGATTCGATCCCCAGAACTTTAGATTCAAGACTAAGTTTTAGGATGGCTGGGAACAGCAATGATGAGGAAAGTGAAAGGTACCCCTCCTCTAAGCCAGTGGCTCCTGTGTGTGAGAGAGGACTAAAGGGAAACATGAATCCAGGGCAAAGCCAAGTTTCAGTTCCAGAAAGGAGAAGGAAACTTTGGGAAAAAGTTAAGGATCTAAGCCACAGTAGGTTGGGTGGGGAAATGCTAGTGATGTCCATGCACACAGAGATAAAGAACTCCCAGAAAAGTTCCAAAGCAATCTGTGGTGTTTGGGTGAGGACTGCAAAGCTAGAACATCTAGCGGAGCCACAGCAGGTCCGCTTGGTCGAACATCATAGGACCTGAAGGCTCTGAATCAGGCTGACTAGGGTTCAGACACTAGTCCTGTGTCTTGCTGCCTGTGTGATCTCAAGCGAGTCCCACTTTGCTCTCAAGATCCTAGGGACATGATTAAATGAAAAGCACGGGGTTAAACACATCCTGAGTACTCAATCAACGTCAGCCATTGACATTAAAACCATATGAATTGACTCAGTTTGAGTCTTTTCCCCAGAATTTTAGTTCTTTGTGGTGTTGGCAAATGCTGTTTTTTTAAGTGAGTAAATGTTTTGTACATAGGAACAATATAGCACACGTTTAAGTACTCAAATATACAAATAAATGCTTAAGGCTTGTTCTTTAAAATGAGTAGACATGGTTATGCCCATAGATTTCAGAATTGAAAAGAGACCGTTGAAATTATTTGGTCAGCTCCCCCAACGTCACTCGAGAATTTACAAAAGAGAACTAGGCTTGGTGAGGCTGAGGCTGAGGCTGACCCAAGAGCCGAGGGGAAGTCTAGATTCTGCTCTCTACTCCTCTCCTACTCTTTAGTATTGCAGCAGTCTTCCCTAACCGTCAGGAAGCAGTCATCACCCGACGTCTCTCAGAAGGTGTCCGTTGTAGTCGGCCAACAAAAGCACCAGCGCTCTGCTGAGTGCAGTAACTAACCTCACTGGAGTTCAGAAATCGCTCCCTGGGACTGGGCGGGTGCGCTACGCCCCTCACCCCTTGTTCGATTTGGTGGAGAGGAAAGCGCCCTGGAAAACGACGGGCCTGGGAGTGGGACGGGCGGTGGCCAGGGGCGGAGACTGCGCGCCACCCACTGGGGAGCACCTCAAAGCGGACCCTGCAGAGCTGCGTTTCAGCGCGGCAGGGCTCGGGCAGTGGTACCTGGGCTCTTGCAGAGCCGGCAAAGGCTGAGCTCGTCCACCCTTCCTGGGCTGGCAAAGGAAACGCTTCGCCAGCAGGACCATGCTCTAGGCTCCCGGCCCACAGCGGCGCGTCCATGGGCCATTCCTGTAACAGCAGCGACAGCGCGGAGGGCGAGAGCGAGCCGCCATGGGCCGCGCTGCTACCGTGCGACGAGCACCGCTGCTCGCCCTTTCCCCTAGGGGCACTGGTGCCAGTGACCGCAGTGTGCCTGGGCCTGTTCGCCGTCGGAGTAAGCGGCAACGTGGTGACGGTGCTGCTGATTGGGCGCTACCGGGACATGCGGACCACCACCAACTTGTACCTGGGCAGCATGGCCGTGTCAGACCTGCTCATTCTGCTCGGGCTGCCCTTCGACCTGTACCGCCTCTGGCGCTCGCGGCCCTGGGTGTTCGGGCCGCTACTCTGCCGCCTCTCGCTCTACTTGAGCGAGGGCTGCACCTACGCCACGCTGCTGCACATGACGGCGCTCAGCGTCGAGCGCTATCTCGCCATCTGTCGCCCGCTCCGTGCCCGCGTTGTCATCACTCGGCCCCGCGTCCGCGCGCTCATCGCAGCCCTCTGGGCCGTGGCGCTGCTTTCCGCTGGGCCCTTCTTCTTTCTGGTGGGCGTCGAGCAGGACTCTGGCGTCAGCGCGCTCCCAGACCTTAACAGCACCGCGCAGCTCAGCCCCTCACCGCGCGCCTTGTCACCACCGACGGCGTGGCTCCTCGGGCCCTCGCGAGCGCCAACTCTATCCCCGCCGTCGTGGCGCGAGACAGCTGAGGCCGCGGCGCTGTTCAGCCGCGAGTGCCGGCCGAGTCCCGCGCAACTAGGCGCGCTGCGTGTTATGCTGTGGGTCACCACCGCCTACTTCTTTCTGCCCTTCCTATGCCTCAGTGTCCTTTACGGGCTCATTGGGCGGGAGCTGTGGAGCAACCGGGGGCCGCTGCGAGGCCCAGTCGTCTCCGGGCGGGAGAAGGGCCACCGGCAGACGGTCCGTGTCCTGCGTAAGTGGAGCCACCGCTGTTCCAAACAAACCAATTGGCTATTCTCCCAGCTCTTGGTGCTGCCTCTAGCTACGTCCCCAGGGCGTCCCTGACGGTAGGATACACAGGTTCCCTAAAATAACAATGATTTTCAAGAACGCTTGGGATCAGTGAGCCGGGCTGATCCATGAAATTGGATGCTCTCAAGGCAACTTGCGTGTCCCTGTTAGATACTGCAGATGTGGATTTTCACAGTATCCTTGAAGAGATAGGGTAAATCACATTAAGCTAAAATTTCTTTACTTAATGTTAAGTTTTCCTGAAGGTTAAAGTGAACCATGCCTATTCTCAAAAATGAAAGATTGCGCAGTGTTTTTCCCCCCAACGGAAAGCAGAGTACATGTCTTTGAAGTGGCTCTGTGGAAGGAAACCTGCCAGCTTGTTAGGAGAAATAGCACCTTCTGCTTTATGCCCAGCCTTGATAACACAAATATAAGCCCAATATGCAGCTTTAAAGCAAATATAGATGCTATCTGCTGTCTGGTAGTTTTCTGGGCTGGGGATTTGGCTAGGTGAAAGTTTTATGGAATCTGTTTTGCTGTTACTTACTACTTCGATGGTTTTTCTGGGATCCCTTTTGTTGTTATTGTTGTTGTTGTTGTTGTTTTCAAATGCTTTAGCTAATTCTGATGCCTGTGTTTTGTTTTGCAGTGGTGGTTGTTCTGGCATTTATAATTTGTTGGTTGCCTTTCCACGTTGGCAGAATCATTTATATAAATACAGAAGATTCTCAGATGATGCACTTCTCTCAGTACTTTAACATTGTTGCATTGCTACTTTTCTATCTAAGTGCATCCATTAACCCAATCCTCTACAACCTCATTTCAAAGAAGTATAGAGCCGCAGCCTGGAAACTACTCTGGTGGAGACAGTCCACACAGAGAGGTTTCATTAGAAGCAGAAATGCAGAGGGGACCACAGAAGGAAATGCAACTGGCTACACCGATACTACCACCAGCATACCTACGCCCGCCACAAGCATGGCCAAGAAAATCGCCTCCTCCCACAGTTCTGGGACTTCACAGAAAACAGGTCTGTGGGGCAATAAGGACTGAAAGGGAGTAAGCGATGCTGTTAGGAGGAATTACAGTGGTTGACATTTTGCAAGTTGGCCAGTAACTTTGTCAGCGTGATTTTTTTTAACCAAGGTACAAAAAGTAAGTTTACCAATCTTTCCAGTTTTTCTTTCATGAACCTCCTCAAAAATGTTCATTTTAGCTTCATGAAATCCCACCTCACAAAATGTGCTCTTGGGAGGTTTTACAAGTCTTCATTCTCCTAGTCTTTGAAAATATGGTTGCTCATTTTACATATAATAAGATACAGAGAGATAATATCAAAGGTGCATTTTGTTTTTATATTTTGGATGTAAATGTAATGGTGCATATACAGGGAATCCAGGATAATGACAGTGTTGATCAAAAAAATTATTTAATGCCTATTTATGAGAGCAAAAATTTTTAGAAGTGAAAGGAATTCCAGGCTGAGTCCAATATTCATAGCCCCACCTCTCTGCCGACTCAGAGCAAATCACACATTTGAGGCACGATACTCTCCTGCAGAGCTATGAATAAACAACTGTGTTGTAACCCACTTCCCCCTGAGACTGTCCATGGGGACTTCTCACTGCCTTTGGCCAGGCAATAGCAAACCTGGGCACCGGAAGCCTGAGGTCAGGAACCTGCAACAGGACCTGGCTTCCAGATGTTTATAAAGAGCTTTAATATGCTTTATTCACCTCAGCTTGGTGGCTGAGTGTTGTCATCATTCCTGTTTTAGTAGTGACAAAACTGAGTCTTAGACTTCCCAAACAAGAACTGATGGGTCTGAATAAGAACTCTAGTCTTTAAGATCATTACCCCCCTCCACCCTGAAAAGCTGCTCTTACTGAAAAACACAAGTCAGTGGATGTACTTAAGGGTGAAAGAGAATGTGCCGGACATTCAGACCAATAATTCTGGAACTTTGTTTTGTTTTCTACAGTTTGTTTTTTAAATTTGAATATTTACTTATTTTTTATTTTTCTATTACCATTTAGTCCCCATATACTCCCCTACCCCTTGCAATCACCACACTGTTGCCCAAGGGGGGCTCAATTCTTCCACCACCCTTTAATATCATCCTGCTCTCTATGAGTCTGTCGCTGTTTTTTTGCTTGTTAGTTCAGATTGTTAATTAGATTCCACATAAAAATGAAATCATATGGTATTTGTCTTTCTCTGACTGGCTTATTTCACTTAGCATAATGTTTTCTGGGTCCATCCATACTGTTGCAAAGGGTAAAACTCTCTTCTTTTTTATGGCTGAGCAATATTCCATTGTGTAAATGTTCCATAGTTGTTCACTCATCTACTGATGGACACTTGGGCTGCTTCTATTAACTTGGAGGCTGTAAATAACACTGCAGTGAACATAGGGGTGCTTATGTTCTTTCAGATCAGTGCTTTGGGTTCCTTTGGATATATTCCCAGAAGTGGGATCGCTGAGTCAAAAGGCAGCTCCATTGTTAATTTTTTGAGGTAACTTCATACTACTTTCCACAGTGACTGCAGTCTGCATTCCCACCAATAGTACAAAAGGGATCCCCTTTCTCCACATCTTCGGGAGCAGTTGTTGTTCGTTGATTTATTAATGATAGCCATCCTGACAGGTATGAGGTGGTACTTCATCCTGGTTTTAATTTGCATATCTCTGATGATTAGTGACATTGAGCATCTTTTCAAATGTCTACTGCTCATCTGTATGTCCTCTCTGGAGAAATTTCCAGTGTATAGACACTGGAGAAGTGTCTATGCAGATCCTTTGTCCATTTTTAAATTGGGTTATTTGTTTTTTTGGTGTTGATTTTTGTAAGTACTTTATAAATTTTCAATATTAACACCTTATCAAATGTATTGGCGACTATGTTCTCTCATTCTGTGGGTTGTCTTTTTATTTTGTTGACAATTTCCTTTTTTGTGCAAAAACTTTTCAGTATGATATAGTCCCATTTGTTTATTTTTGCTTTTGTTTCCTTTGTCTGGGGAGATATATCTGACAAAATGTTGCCATGAGCTATGTCCAAGATTTTGCCATGTTTTCTTCTCAGGTTTTTATGGTTTCAGGTTAACATTTAATTTTTTAATCCATTTTGAATTTATTCATGTGTGGTGTAAGAAGATGGTCTAGTTTCATTTTTTTTTGCATGCACTTGTCCAATTTTCCCTACACCATTTATTGAATAAACTATCTTTAGCTTTTATGTGCTTGCTTCCTCTGTAGAATATTAGCTAACTTTAAAGTTAGGGGTTTATTTCTAGGCTCTCTACTTTGTTCCATTGATCTGTGTATCTTTTTTTCATGCCAGTACAATGCTGTTTAGATTACTGTAGCCTTATAGTCAGTGGATGTAGTCAAGGGTGAAAGAGAATGTGTTGGACATTCTGACCAACAGCTCTGTAGCTTTGTTTTGTTTTTTACAGTTTGAAACTTAAACCTGTTTCCAGAGGCCCTCATTCACGATGTGGTCTGTGTGAATGGTGCCCCCTGGAGAGCACAACTTGTTCAGTTGTAAACTGCAAGTAAACAAGGATAGCTCAACATGCTGGGAAATTTCTGCTTTGGCACTTTATTAGCCAAGTACAGTGATGTTTACAAGCCCCCCTGAAGTGTCCTAATTCTCTGGTCCTGCCCTCTCTCATGGATCAGCAGTGAAGTCTCTCCTTTAGAATGCATTTCTCCCTACTAGTGGAAGAAGCAGAGAGCAGCCACTTGGGGCAGCAGTCCCTAAACTCTGTTGTGCAGATTTTCAATTATTTAAGAAAAGTCTATGGAGAGGTCATGGTTAAGAACATTATTGTATTTTATTTATAGTATAATATTTCAGATATAGACTTAAAAAGCTCTCCTTGGAGTTTTCCTGTTCAAATTCTCACTTTCCTGTGATCTACAAGTGTTCCCTGGTGTGGGCGAGGGGGAGAAATACCCTTCCTTTGCTGAAGGGTCCCTGAGATGGAGCCCATCCTTCCAGTGGATCACTGTGCAGTTGTTTTCAAAATCATGGTCTCACCCATTAGTGGATTGTGAAATCAGAGGAGTGGGTCACATTTTTTAGTGAGAAGGAGTGGGCAAGAATCAGTACACCCTGTAATGGTTGTACTGTGAAACTTTTGTTTCAATTATATGTTAGTGTCTTTCTCAATTCACAAAATGAAATGTTTTCCTACTGTGGGTCATGGTCAAAAATATTTGAAAAAGTGTTTTGTACCCCAGCAAAATGTCCTCCTGCAGTTCCAACTGGCTATAAAGGAGGAGGGGGGTCCTGAAACACCACTGGTGGTGGGGGCGGCGGAGGCGGGCAGCAGGCTATGGTTTTCAGTCCTGCGCCTTGCTTCTCCCCAGGACCATGTCACAAAGACTGTGCCTCAGAATCTCTCCCTGCACTCAGACAGAGCCCTGTGCTGGCAGCCCTACAAAGTTCTCTTTGAGGCCCCTCTCCCTTCTGCTGGCCACACCACTTGTGTTGGGTGAGACACCAAACTTGGGGAAGGGTTTGTGTTTCGTTCATTCAGTTGACAGATATTTACCAAGCAGCTGCTAAGTGTAGATGTGTATGACAAAATCCACTAGAAAAATCAGCTCATGTCATCATGTACAAATCAGTCAACTTTTTAATGTATTCTTTGGTTTGGAGCATGTGATTGTGTCTTCTGGACTAACCACAGACTCAGCTCACAGGTTAATAAAAGCACTTACATCAAATGGAACTGCCAAAAATCAGGTTAGTGTCTTCCACACAGACATTCCTCTTTTTTCAGCATGAGACATTTTCACTTCTAAAGGAAATATTCAAAGAAGCTATTGCACAGCACCTCCTAGGAGCCAAGAGCCACGTGTACCAAGTCCTCAAGAGGACATGAGAACAGCATGTTAATGATGTTTAAGTTTGAGCAAGGCCTCTCCTGACCATTTCTTCTCATGTTATAGTAACATTTGCCAGAATGTAGAAACGTTGTGTATGAGGGATAGTAATTGAACAGGGCAAGTGTTTGAAGTGGTACTTTAAAAAAGGCTTTTCTTAAACATAGATGTGAGGCAATTTGTAATTGTGAGCCAACTTTCTAAAGATTCTATATATTCTATATATTACACAGACTGTGGTCATCTCTGAGCAACCTTCCAGTATCAGGTTTTCCTCTACTGGGAGCACAGAAACATTTGTCACAGAGCAAGCATGAGCTCCACAGGCATGCTTTGTGGTCGCTCAGTGTGTGTCAGGCTCTGTGTAAGCTGCAAGGAAGTGGCAGAGGCTGACTCTACTTGCCAACTTCTTAGGAAACAGCACACACCTTTTGAAGAATAATGGACTCCTGTGTAATTTTAAAGACTAAAATGTGCCAGCCAGACCAGGAGAACCTAGCATGGGCTGGAATCTCTTTCATGGTAATTAGTGTGTTACATGGTGGTGGCCAGTTCCCAGGATTTGCAACTTGCTTCCTAAGGACAGTTTTATTCCTCTTTGGTGTCTCTTGCCCAGGTAAATGTGTGTTGGACTCAGCTGGATGCAAGGGAGGGGATAGGAATTTGTACCCCAGGACCAACAGATGGAGGCTGAGCTAGCAGATGACTGAAACATCTGTTCGGTGACTAGCCAGCACAAGAGAAGGCTCAAGATAGGAGCAAAAAAGGCACACAGGGAGAGAATGCTGAAGGAAGTAGAGGAAGGGCCTTGCAGAAAAAAGGAGAGGGAGAAAGCAAGAGCACCTGGTATAACCAGGAGCTGGAGTCTACAAAACACTACGCCATTGTGAATGGTGTAGAGCTTCAGCCAGAGAGGCCAGTTGGTACCAGCTGTCTGTCATGATCTAGGCATAAGGCAGTCATGGGTTAGTGTGGTGACACCAGAGCAATTACCACACTCAACACATCCCCTTGCCGAGACCTCTAGTTGTGTTGCCGTGACCTAAGAGCAGTGAGTTTCCCTTTCCCTGTCCTTAATCCCCAGCCCCAGGCGCACTCTCCTGCATCTGTACCAGGGCCACAGTCTGTCATTTCTTTTCTCTCACCTTTGCAGTGA